GCAGGAAAAAGAATAAGTCTGAAGGTTTATGGTGTGCTCAGCAATAGGTGCTCTGGAACTGTAAGTTCTTCAGGAAAGTTAAGCATAAAGCACCATCAGAAAGACCCTGGAAAATGAGAATATGAGGCCCACATAATGAAAATCCTGCAACCTGTCTGCCAGACAGAAGTGTAAATTCCTGCAGAACAGGTAGCTTTGGCCAAAGAGAATGTGAAGCCCGATAGTAAACTCATCTTCCTCGTCTTGTGTTGTGCACCAGATATTCTTGATAGCTGACAATCGAGTGGAGCATGACCAATAATTGATCTAATATGAGGTAAAGAGAGTAGTTCCTGTTAAGTGGGAAGGGTATTCAAGAGGGATCTAATTTGGAGCCAGCAAGTGGCCTAGTGGGTATGTCATTGAACTCTCACATGGCTGACTGGTTCAAGTCTCTGACCCAGTGGCTTGAAAATTATGCTCTGTGTGTGTGTGTGTGTGTGAAAATGATGCTCTGTGTGTGTGTGTGTGTGTGTGTGTGTGTGTGTGCGCGCGCGCGCACGCATGTGTGCCCAAGATCTCAAGAGGAAAATGGAGAAGGGATTGCAATGTGGCCATTCTCCCCTGAGGAGGGTGATATCTCACTTTCCCTCTCACCATCTCTGTCTCTGTCTCTCTGGCAAGTGCATCCACCCTATGCCAAAAATCTCTTAAAATAGAATGGGACCTAATTTTATAAGTGGTCACTTCATTTGTAATTATTTCTATGTTAGGATAACAGTGTAGAGACTCAGATCATGAGGAGACCCTGTACATGTAGAGATTGAACTGCTGGTTCCCAAGAATATATGTTAAAATAGCTCTTTCCAATGCAATATATGTCCAGTCACTATTATTAAACACCTAATGCATAGTCAAACTGTTACTAGCATTGGGGACCGATAGTATGTGGGACAAAAATGTCTTTTCAATCTTCTTTGGAACAAGCAGTTAGCGTAATGGCTGTGTCGCTGGACTCCCACATAGTCGACCGCGGTTCGGGTCCTGGACCTGGTGGCTTAAAACTCACGCTGGGCGCGTGTGCGTGCGTGCCCAAGATCCCGAGAGGAGAATGGAGGAGAAGGGATTGCGGCGTGACCATCCCCCCTGGGCGGTGATTTCTCGCTTTCTGTCTCTATGTCTCTGTCTGTCTGGTGAGCGCACGTGCCCTATAGTGAAAATCTCTCCCCCCCCCAAAAAAAAATATATATATATATTCTTAACATAATTTTTTAACGTGGATTCTTGAGGGCCAGCCAGGTTGCATAATGGTTAAGGCAGCTGAATCCCATGTGACCCAATGTGCTTTTGAGTCCTGGACTCAGGCAGCTTGAAAATAACATGGGGACCAGCAGTTAGCATAACGGCTGTGTTGCTGGACTCCTACGTAGTCGACTGTGGTTCGAGTCCTGTACCCGGTGGCTTAAAACTCACGCTGGGCGCGTGTGCGTGCGTGCCCAAGATCCCGAGAGGAGAATGGAGGAGAAGGGATTGCTGCGTGGCCATTCCCCCCGGGGGGTGATTTCTTGCTTTCTGTCTCTCTGTCTCTCTCTGTCTTTCTGGCGAGCGCATGTGCCCTATAGCAAAAACCTCTTAAAAAGAAAATAACACTGGAGAATTCCTCAAGAATGGAAGAGAAGAAATTGTGGTGTGGTCACCGCCCCCCACAACCCAGAGGTGGTGGGGGTCCTTTTCTCTTTCTTTGTCTCTCTCCAGTGAACACACATGCCCTATATCAATTTTTTTTTTTTAAATCATGGCTTCTTGGCACCACTGCTGTCTACTTTGTAAAAGCCAAATGTTAAAATAATTGTTCAGTAGGCCCCAGATGCCAACACAGTAGTCATGTAGTGCTCTTTGAAACTGACCATATGTGAAGGTCTTGGGTTTGTGTCCAGAGACCTCCCTGAAAATGTCAGGCATGTGCATGCCCATGATCTAGGGCTGGTTGAAGCTGGAGGTGGATTGAGCATGAACACTCCCATGGGAGTTTTGTCTCCTCTCTATCCATGTTACTCTCACTCATGGAAGAAAAAGAGAAAGAGAAAAGAAAGAACAAGCAAGGAAGGAAGAAAAGATAGAGATAATTTGTCAAGCAGTTAAAATAATGGGCAGCAAAATCTTGAATAAAACTAATTTGTAGTGCTTTAATTTACATTATAGAAGATTGAATTGTTTAATGCTTTAGAGAATACATACCAACAACAGTAAAAGCATTTTTTTCTGTAAGTTTATTGAATTTAAGCATTATGAAGTACTAGGACTTCTAAGATTTTCTTCTGTTTGGAAAGCAGTAAAGTTCATTTTCTTTCTTTTTTTAATTTTTAATAAATTTCATTGCATATGCATATATATGGTATTCAAAATATTAGGAGAGAGGCCAGCAAGGGGCATAGTGATTAAGGTGCTATACTCCCATATGGCCAACCGTGGTTCAAGTCCTGGGCCGGCCAGCTTGAAAATCATGCCAGGTACATATGCATGCATGCCCAACATCCCAAGAGGAAAATGAAGGAGAAGGATTGTGGTGTGGCTGTCCCCTGGGGGATGATTTCTCACTTTTTCTCTTTCTCTGCTTCTGGTGAGCGCACGTGCCCAATGGCAAAAACCTAAAAAAAAAAAGTTATGAGCTACATATATGTTTTATATACATAGTAAAATGTTTGGAACATTTTAGTGAAACAGATTAACATGTCTATTATCTCACGTGGTTACCCATTTTCCCCACCTGTGGCAACAACAGCTATTTGTAATATAATCATTTAGCAAAAATTAGTACTCTATTAACTATAATCTTCATGTTATTTATTAAAATCTTCAAAATTGTTAATTCTGTATATTTGCTGTTTCATTTTTCATTTTAATATAAAATAGTTCAGCTGTAACACAGAAAAAGGTGTGTGTGTGTGTGCGTATGTTGGGAATTAGGTATTTCTAAGCGATGATGAAATTAGAAATGCTTAATTTTATTTTATGATATTTTTTAGGTGCTGGTGAATCTGGGAAAAGTACAATTGTGAAGCAGATGAAGTAAGTAAACTTAAAACATTAAATGTGTTTTTTTAATGCTTAAGTGTACTCTTCTGTCACAGGAAGTAAGAGTTCTCTTTTCTCTTCTGTCTCATTAGAATTATCCATGAAGCTGGTTACTCAGAAGAGGAGTGTAAGCAGTACAAAGCAGTCGTCTACAGTAATACCATCCAGTCCATTATTGCCATCATCAGGGCCATGGGGAGGTTGAAGATAGACTTCGGTGACTCAGCTCGGGCGGTAAGTTATTACGTGTGTTGGAAAGGCCTGATGAGTAAAAGGACTAACTTGCATAATAAAATCATACTACACATCCTAGGCTAGTCAAAACTATTTTGCAGAAGTCAGGGAGATAGGAGTGAGTAAAGTGAGTCAGGTGCCTTAGAAGTAGGTAAGATAAGACTACAGGGATCAGTCTTTCTTTTCTGGCAGTACTCTCCTTATCTATCAGGTGATCTGGGTAACTCAGTAATTGCAGCAGTGTTTTTTATGGAACATGTTCTGTTGGGTATCCCTGGATTCCATAACAATTTTTAATAGTACTGAGGAAACTACTTTTACTGGCAGTCTTCAAGATCTGTTTTTATAATTTGGAAGGCTGAAATGATTAATTATTTATATTCATGCCTAGACTAAAATGCAGTCTAATCTCAAGGAATGAAAAACCATGTTAAGTTTGCTTACCTTTGGAATGGGAATATTTTGGCTATTAAAAACCATGTATATGAATTTTAGAGCTGAAGGGGACCTTGAATGATAAGCTCATTCTTTCCCTTTATATTAATGTCAATAAAGAAACTCGAACCCATAAAATTACAGGACAGAAAGACATGTATTGGAGTTAATGGTGCCCAAGCACTGGGCCTGTGCCTTCTCAGCTGGCCCAGGAACTTGTTTGCATTTCGACTGAGAGCAGCGGTGGTCCCATCCATACAGCGCTTCATATTTCTTCTTTTCTCGCAGTCCATGTTTGGTTGCTTAATCTGTTTAAGTTTATTTGTGTATGGTTCATACTTCACTGATGCTTTTTTAAAATAAGTGATGTAAAACTTAACCTCACCAGAAACCTTTTTTTTTTTTTCCCTCACCAGAAACCTTTAACTTAAGGTTTCCTGGCTTATTTTTTAAATTTTTTGTATGAAGTAGTATTTTATTACTATTACTACTCTCTACTTTTGTAGTTCCTATGGATTAGTATATATTCAAATAAGTGTTTGTGTGCTACTAGTACTATAAAGTTTTGTGTATAGAGACTAAAGTTTTTTTTTTGTCTCAGTGTCTGCTATTTTTTTGTTGTTTTTAGTACATGCTCAATTCATGCTTCATAGGAAAGAAAAATTAATGAAAGCAACATCAGTAGAACAAAAATATATATATATATATTCAAGAAATTTGTAAAGTAAACCTCTATTTTTTTTTCTTTTTGAGAAGTTTTTGCTGCAGGGCATGTGCACTCACCAGAAAGACAGAGAGACAGAGAGACAAAAAGTGAGAAATAACCCCCACGGCCACACCGCAATCCCTTCTCCATTCTCCTCATGGGATCTTGGGCACGCACACTCACGCATCTGGCGTGAGTTTAAGCCACTGGGTCCAGGACTTGAACCATGGTCGACTACTTGGGAGTCCAGCAACCTAGCTATTACACCAACTGCTGGTCCCAGTAAACCTTTATTTTTTATAAATGACTTTAATATTTTCTAATAAGTTACTAGGCCATATGTTTTTCCATTGAGACAAAGATTTAAAAGATTAATGATTAATTACAATTTTCAAGTATCTTTCAAGGTTATTTGAAATATTTTACCATTTATTCATTCATTTGACAAATGTTTTTGAGTTTAAGATATTGACTGAATAAGTTAGAAATGCATAAATTTTAGAATCAGTAGATAAGGCAAAATGTTCTAGCTGTAATCAAATCTTGTTTAGGAAAAGACAGGTTAAAACGATGTTAATGAATTATTATTTTAAAGAATCTTGAAATCTACTTGCAAATATTAATTATACCAAGCTGTAAAATCTTTGTTTTAAAGGGGGACCAGCAGATGGCGTAATGGTTATGTCACTGGACTCCCACATAGTCAACTGCAGTTCAAGTCCCAGACTTGGCAGCTTCAACTCACACCGGGCATGTGTGCATGCATGCCCAGGATCCCAAGAAGAGAATGGAGGAAAAGTGGTTGCAGTGATACCATCCTCCCCAGGGGAGGGGGGGGGGTGATTTCTCCCCGTCTGTCTCTGTCTTTCCTGTGAGCACACACAACCTATAGCAAAAAACCTCTCTTCAAAAAGAAAAAAAAATCCTTTGCTTTAAAGGACTATGCAGAGATTATTTTCAAGGCTGGCATGCTGCTATAACTTTTTTTTTTTTAAAAGGTTTTTTTCTTAGGGCATGTGTGCTTGTTAGAGAGAGAGAGAGAGACAGACAGAGATAGTGAGAGGGAAAGTGGTAAATCACCCCCCAGGGAGATACATCCTTGTCCTCCATTCTCCTTTGGGTTTTGGGCATACACGTATGCAAATGTATCCAGAGTGATTGTTAAGCCACCGGATCTGGGATTCAAACCATGGTTGGCCATATGGGAGTCCAGTGATGTAACTGCTACACCCTCTGCTGGCCCAGTGCAATAACATTTTATGCCTATTATCCTTTCAAAACTTTCTCAGAATGCAGGTAGTACATCTGTGAATAATGTTATATTGACTATTTATTATGTTTATAATAATGTGAAATTAAAGACGCCTTACATAGGGGCTTAGTAGCATGTCTTAGGCACTGGCCATTTAGAGTATCACTGTTCAGTGTGGTCCATGGACTAGTGACTATCCACAGATATGCATAGAGTGAATACATAAATTAAGGGTAGGAGTTTAGATAGATTTATAACAATTGACTGAGTAATTTATATGTTAACTCTGATTTTTTTTAAGTTTTTAAAAATTATTTAGTTTTTTAAAAATTTGCTATAGGCCATGTACATTCACCAGAGAGAGAGAAAGAGAGAAAGGGGAAATGAGAATGCAACCCATCAGATCCAGTACTTAAACCACAATCAGCCATGTGAGAGTCCTGTACCTTAACCACCACACCACCTGCTGGCCCCAACGCTGATGTTTTAAAATATGTTTACATTTTATATGCCATTTATTTATTTTTTTTCTAGCAGTAGTATTTCTGAAAGAGATTGAAAACAAAAATAAGACAAAAGACAAGACTGGGCTTTCATCACAGTCTGAGAAGCACTTAACTTGGAATATATTAAGCTGTCAGAATCAGCAAATCTTGTTTTGAGCTGATTTAAACAACCTCCCTTTCTCCTCTAAACCTCCTTGCATAAGAACCACTTCTCTATCGTAATCATTTTGTAATTTATTTTCAGTAGTTAATATTTTCCTGCCAGATTTGCCAGGTTGCTTTTGAGAAAGGTTATATCAGTTTACCTTCCTAGCAACAGTTAATGAGAGTACCTTTTAACACTCTGGGCAACCAAATTTAAGAATTTTACATTAAAATAGTCTTTACAAATTTATTATTGGAAAATCTCAGGCTAATTTAATTGCAGTTTTTATTTTTTAGTGTAGTTATAGGTTTTCATATCTTTATTGATCACATTTTATTTCTCCATATTTGCAGCTTGTGTCTGTATTCATTTGGTGTTTTGATTATTTCCTTACCTGTTTATATGTACATATGTATTAAGCTTTGTCCGCTAGTGCAAACGGTCTCACATTTTGCTTATTGTCTTTGATCCTATAATTTAAAAACTATTTTCCCATTATTTCTTTCATTATGTTTAAATATAGCAAAACCTCTCATATGTATTAAGCTTTGTCCGCTAGTGCAAACAGTCTCACATTAGCCAAAGATTTACCAAATATTCATGCTATTTTTAAAGTCTTTTAGGGGTGTGCTTTTTTAACACTCGTTTCTGTGCTTATTCTTTAATTGCTTTGAAACTTGTTTTATTGTGTACATATATTATGTCTGTAATTTTTTTTCCTCTTCAGATTGCTCTTAAATATCCGTCAGGTTTTTGTTTTGTTTTGTTTAGTTTTTTTGAGTAATTATATCTTTTCATACTTGCTGTATCTTGCTAACTTTATCATGTAAGTTCCGATTTTGTATTTTTTTTCCTATTGATCTGCCTTACTACCAGACTGGTCTATGTATTATAGGCTTTTATTATCCAGTAGTTCCTGCCCTCTTCTTTCAGTCTTTCTTTGAAAGTGTTCTTAGTTATTTTTACTTATTATTTTTTCCAGATGAATTATTGAATTATTTATATTTGACAACTGTGAGGCTGTTGAGAAAGTCATGACATATTTTGCTATGCAAAAATGCATCATAACTTTCCTGACAACCCAATGAAATGAAGAAGCTATGATCTTTTAATATTGTATTTTGATTCTGAGAAATAAATACTAATAGATGCATGTGGCAAACTATTAACTCTCATTTGAAGACACATAGAATGTACTTGTAACTCAATATTTTTCTATTTCCCTAAGTTCACTTATCACTATCACAGGTCTCGTACCTCTGTTGGTAACAAGTTCTGTTGTCTGTACAAAGAACATATAAATGTCAATATTTCTCCATTTTGTTAATTTGAAAAAATATTCAAATATCCGCATTTATAATATTCATAAGAATATACATTAAAGTTATATTTGTGTAATAAATTCACTGGTAATTTTATTTTACATAATGAAGCTCAGGCTATGTGTTAAATTCGCTGCAGTTTCGTCAGAATTTTTACTCTTTGCAATTCAGTTAAAATTAACTTAGATTATTTTATTTTAAGGCTTTTCCCCCCATTTAAGCAATCTTACATGAAAAAAGAAAAATGACTTCTTATTTCTTTGCCTGAAGTCATTTTTACTTTAATTGCATTTGTGTTTTTAGAGAAAATGAATTTTTTATTTTTATGTATTTTTTAATTGAAGCAATTCTTTAACACCTAAGCTAAACATCATGAGCCATGGAGTGACACGTCCACTTGTTCTAGTTACCTCTTGTTTAATAACTGAATATTTGAAACTGGGCACTTTTATAAGAATAGGGGATTATTTAGCTCACAGTTTTGAAGATCTGAGGTCAGGGAGCCACATCTGGTGAGGGTTTTTTTTGGAGAGGTTTTTGCTATAAGGGCGTGTGCGCTCACCAGAAAGAGAGAGACAGAGAGATAGAAAGTGAGAAATCCCTCCCCTCCCCCGGGGGGGGGAGATGGCCACAC